CTAGCTGATCTACTTTCTATTCATTTGATGTTTTTTACTGTTCTAGGTTTTGATCCTTGTGTTAACACAATGCCTATAACGAATACAGGCGGCAATTAATGGAGGAGGAGGGAGCTCAAGAACAGTGAAGCGTCTGATAACTTTATCTCCTAGTGAAGGAAAATGGAATGGAAACTGGAACTCTCAGTACAATGTCTCTTTACGTGATCTTAACCTCCAAGATCTTGTCGAAGATGGTCCTACAAATTCCCGTGTCTCTGTCGATCTCTCTGTCCAAAGGGTAAATTTCTCTTTCCCTTTTCATTCACTATCTTACAGTGTTGTGAGCTTAAATTTGTGTTTAATGTGTAGAAAGGTATCTTCAACATTTCTTGTCTTTTATCCAACTAAATCATTTAGTGTATTTTCAACAGATTTTGATTCCATTTAGTGGACGTGTTGTTTCTTTTTGTAGCATGCAAGCATGGGACTCTCAGTAGATGGAAGAATCATGACAACTTTTGCAAGAAAATGCAGCATTTGCTCCTCCTCTTATCCTCGACTGGTAAACTGTTTCATTCTAAAAGTGAAGCATCTGAGCAAGAAACTGTTTTGATGAAATATCTGTGACCAGATTGATACAAATTTCACGGTTTGGATTTTGCCATCAAGTCGGGAAAACCGAGCTTCGCAACTGCCAGAAATTGGCGGTGATGATCCTTCGGTGAGCGCCTTTAAGCTCTGTGCATATTTTAATGTCCATTTCAACAAAGTGAAATGAGTTAAATCTCTCTTTTGGCAGGTAATATATGTGAAACCTGGATATGAAGCTAATCTTGATTCCCTTGTACAAGACACTATCCGGCTCACAACATATGCAAAAGTAAGATTCAGTTAAACTGTATGGACAAGTTTCACAGAATCCATATAAGCTTTCATGAGTCTTGTGTGTGTGGAGTCTAATTGTTTCACTTGAATTGTTGTTTCATTATAGGATATATGCTCGGATTCTTGCGAAAAATCGGAACCAACCTTACACTGTAAGCAACATTTTGTTGGTTTGTTTCTCTATTTTCACATGACATGTTTGTTAATTTTGGTCAGAGAGATTATACAGTTTTTGGCTTCTGAAAATTTCTTTTGCAGATGTTGGTGAGACAAATACAGCTTCTGTTCATAAGAGATGGTCAAGGCTACTTGAGCTTAAGAAGAAATAGAATCCTACAAGCCTTTGAATCACTCTTTTCAAAGTCTCATAAAGATTTTGATACTGTTCATATTCAGATATATACAAGTACACATTGACTTGGGACAAGGGAATGTAATGCTTTTATTGATAGATGTAAACGCTTCTGGTTTGAGCAAATTAGTATCAATTGATTTTTTTGCCCATTAAGAATACAATCATTTTGAATTCCAAATTCTTGAAAACCTTACCATTGGCTTTAAACACACAAAAAGCTTATGAAAAGCTGGAAAATGTGGGCATTTGGCAATGGAAAATACCTCATAATTTGAGAATGGTAATGAATACAAATCATATGAATGAGCTTGAAGAAAGCTTTAGCTACTTCGGATTCACTTTTGAATGTTTTGGTACATCTGATTTTAAGTGTTATGACAATAACAAAGAAGATCAAAAGCCATACAAGTATTATTGGGTTTAGTTCCTCAGACCCTCTTTTTGTTGCATTTGCTTTCTCAGGTTTCCGAGAGGGCCATATCCTTTATCCTTTTCTTCTTTGTCACAGTCACATTTCCTCTTATTCAGATTCGCACCGCACTTCAAGCACATTCCCTTACAAGCAGAATCGCATATTGCAGTGATGGTGATCTCTAAATGGACTAAGTCTCTTATATGCTTTGATATGTCTACTTCTTTCACCTCAGGCGGAAAATGGAGCTTATCCTCCCAGTCTATCGATGA